TTGCCCATGTATCTGCAGAGGAAAGGAGAGATGATTGCATGGGCACCTCAATTCAGTCCGTATGGCTTATTTCCAAGTTTAGCTTCCTGCCTCGGTGGTAGGGATGCTCAGAGACAGAACTGAAAAGTTGAGAGGAAGAAGCTGACATGAGTGAGTGGGAAAACTAGCATCAAGGGCAATGCCCACTTATTGTAGGAATTCACAGGCCCCCCTGCCACCCTCTGAAACTTCCCCTCAAGTATGCTTCTCATGCTGAGCCCTCTGTAAGGGCAAATCCATGCTCCTTTCTTCCTGTTCAGTCTCTCCCTGCCCTTCTCTCTTCAGCAGCCTGCTCATTCACCTGCAACATCCTTTATCTGTGTCTGTCTGCCCCTCCACTCTTACCTATGAATTGTGTGTCCCACAGGAGCCAGGCCCTGGTGTTCCTATGCCTTGGCATTGGTGGACACTCCTGATGCTTCTTAAATGAATGCTGACGCGATGTCTATTGACGGACTTTTCCTGTGCTCTTAGAATGTGTGTGTTGAGATCCTAACCCCTGACACGGTAGTGTGAGAAGATGGGGCCTTTGTGAGGTCATTAGGTTACAGCGGCAGAGCATTCCTGGTGGGATTACTGCTGTTCTACAAAAAGACGAACTGCTGGTTCTCCCTCTGCTCTCTGTCACACGCAGATGCAACAATAAGAGGCTTCTGCTGAAGCTGGATCTGCTGGCACCTTGATGTTGGGCTTTTCAGCTTCTAAAACTGTGAGAAATAGATGTTTGTTGTTCAAGCTGCAAGGTCTTTGGTATAGCAGCCTGAATTGACTAAGACAGAGATGAATGAGTGAATGAATGAACTTCAACTGTTGTTTAGATTGCTGCAGCAGAGATTCATAAAAGGAGTTTTTGACCTGAGTCGGATACCGGCCTGCCACTTGCCAGTTCTTCCTCTGCTCATGCAATACAGCTAAATAGTACCAACCTTAGAGGGCCGGTGGAGGATGAGGTCAGTGTCTACTGTAACACCTGGTGCGTAGCATAGTACTATGGCTGCTGCCCTTAATGTCACATGGACACAAAGCCACTGGAAGGAAGTTCTCTTTGGTTTGTAATGGGAAAGGAATTTAAGGGTGCTGACGTTAAATTATGGTGCTATTAGATGACTACGACCCTAAATGAAGCTCTCATGCAGAGGGAGGTAGAGAAACCCATCTGTTTCATTCAGACATGGAGTCTGAGGCCTAAAGAGTGCCCCCCTGCTCACTAGCCAGAAGAGATGGTTTTAGAAAGTTGAAAGCGTTCATTCAACCCAAAGTCCTTCGTTCATTCCACAGGCCTTCATTACTGGGCCGCTGATGCATGTCAGGTGCCGCCCACATGTTCCAATAATAGTGAGAAGGTCACCAGGCTGATCCAGGTGGAAGCTGGGCAGAAGTCACCCCAAACTCCTGTTCCCCACCTTGGTCTGAGACAGCGGTCCATAGGAGCAGGCAGTGAGTGTTCACTCACTTCTAGTGCCTCGAGCAGGTGCAGTGGTTGGAATGTGTCTCCTGAAATTCAGGCAATGGAAACGTAATCCTCAGAGCAACAGCGCTGCTAGGTGGAAGCTGTTGAGAAGTGATGAGGTTTATCAGGGCCCTGACTGGTGGGTGGGTTGACAGCGTTGTCTTGGGGGTGTGTTAGTTATCCCAAGAGTAATTTTGTTATAAAAGCAATACAACGCTACTTTCTTTCACCCTTCCCTCTTCTGCCAGGTGCTGCTGAAGCCCGAAGATCTTTCCTAGATAGGAAGAGGCTTCTGATCTCAGACTCCCCTGTCTCCAGGTCAGCACGAAATAAATCTGTTCTTCCTTGATTACCCAATGTCAGGTCCTGTGTTATGGTGGCACAAAATGGACTCAAATAGTGGGTGAAGAACCTCAGGTACTTATCTAGTATAATCCTCAGCCAGGCAGGTTTTCTTACTGCTAGGTTATAGAAGAAGAAACAGAAGGTGGGGAGCTAGACCCACACTGCTCATGCGGGAAGCTGCAGAGGCAGAGGAGGCCCGGATCATCTGAGCTCCCCTGCACTATCTGACACTGCAGAGGCGGACTGCAGGCCATTTTCTTGCGAAGACCCAGCCTGGAACAAATGCCTAATTTTGAGGTGGGCTCCTAGAGCAAAGGTCCTGCCTAGGACAGCGGTCTGTTTTTCCCTTGTTGGCTTTGTCCTCTACTGCGATGGCTCCACTTCTCTCTTCCAGGATGACTCCTGCCAGAAAGCAGTTCTGCATTTTCCCAGCAGCAGCCTGTGGTGTGGTCGTCGCCATCTATCCACAGACTCGGCCAAGTGGTTCAGCATGGCAAGAGGGGGATGTTTGGCTTTCCTACCAAGTTCAAAAGCAGCAGCTGCAAGCATGAGGCCCAGGGCAGTGCAGCCAGTCTGCCCCCACCCCCTGCTACAGTAGTGAGCACTTCCACTTGGGGGTTCTGGGAGCAGGGACCCGGGTGGGAGGGGTTGGCAGCTGAACTGGGGTGGGAATAGTAACCATGGGAACTAGCCACATTACTGGGTGGTGCAGGCGCCAGGGCCCTGGTGAGGCCCCAGCATCAACATGCAGCTTAGGGGATCCCTGTACCACTCTGAGAGCCTGATGGCTTTGGTATAAAACCCAGCTCAACCTATTCCTAGACTTTTGACCTTGGGCAACCAATCTCTTTGCCTCAGTTTCCTAGTTTATAGAATGAGAATAAAAACAGCGTCTCCTCCGAATGGTTCCATGGAAAGCATCTAGTCAGGGCTCAGTCCTCTGCATCCTTCTGGTTCTCTGCCACCCTGCAGGTTCTGTGACCCTCCAGCTCGTCACTGTGTGGCTCTGGTACTATTTAAATGATTGTTCACCTGTTATCAGTCCCGACACATGGTCAGAGATGCTTCTCCTTCTGTTGCTCTTGATGCTTTCATAATTGAATGTGCAATCTGTTCTCACATGAATTGCCCAGAACATCTGCTTTGGGTTGAGGATGTGTCCATGGAAAACAAGAAAGAGGGAAGCCAGACCTTCTTCAGGCATTCTACAACAGAACTTCCAGTGAAATGGCACTTCGGGGCCCAGTGGTTCCAGTGCCCAAAGAGTCCTCCTGCCCCCTTGTTTCTTGCCTGGGGGGCAAGTGTGATATGCAAAATCATCAACAACCCAGAGGGCTCTGACCAATCAGAATGGGCTGTGGCTGCAGTGCTGGAACAAGGACACTTGGGGACCCAGAAATGTTGCTGTGGACCACCTGGCAAGAAAGCGTTTTACCAACTGGCACAGGATGTGTTCTGGGTCTGTGCCAGCTGTGCCAAGGAGAACAGCCAAGGCAGAGCAGAGCTGATGAAGTGTCTGCATGGAAGGAGAGTATGTCCCGCCCCTGTATCTCTCCTGTGGAGGATCCCGCGCTGACCAGATGGCTGTGGGTTGGCCGAATTCAATGGCCTCCGCAGAATTTAAGTGGGCTGGTGTTACCAGTGTTGGCTTTTGTATTAAACCACCTACTCACGCACTTTGGCATCTTCAACAGGTTTTTAACCATCTGAGAATCTTGGAGTCTAGTCTGTGAAATGAGGGCATGACAGCACAGGGGGCTTGCGGAATGCATCTCACACGGGGCCCAGAGCACATGGACTAGTGGAGATACAGGGAGTGCTTCCTGCTTCTCTTGGGGTGTCCTGGTGCCCTTTCCACCAGCAGAGCTCCTTCCTACCCTGGGAGCTGTGGGGTGCGAATGAATGATCTTCCTAAGCACTCACACACTCATCTCATTCACAGGAGTCTACCAAATGCCCACTTGGTGCCAGTGGCTGGGGAAGCTCCAGCGAATGCGCTGTCCAGACTGCTGTCCTCGCTACGCAAGGAGCGAAGCAGGCCGCCCGGCCGCCAGGACTTTCCTCCTGCTGCCAGCACACAGCCATCCAGAATGGCAGCAGCAACAAACCCATCAGGCAGGACAGAGCTGAGCTTGAAATCAGGGAAGGAGGCCTTCAGGAAGTGGGTCTGGGAAGAGGTGCTCGGCAGGGCTGCCCCCGAACGCCACACGAGAGCTGCTGGAGATGCCCAGGCCACATCCAGAGCAATCACATTAGAATTTCTAGGGTCAAGATCTAGGCTCAAGGGGCTTAATGTCCTCCCAGGGGTCCCATTGCGCAGCTCAGCTAGTAAAGACCCTCACTCTGCAGAGTTGTTCTGATGCCTGGCAGGGAAGAGCCTCCTGTTCAACGCAAGAGCCACGATGTCCTCTTAGGTAGTCATGTGGGATTTCCTGGGGCTACGTGTACCTGGACCTACTGATTCACCCAGGAGAGAGCCAAAGCTGGTGTGTACCCCTTGAGAGTGCCAGGAAATGGTCACATTGCCTCCTGTTGCCAGCGCCCCAGGCAGGCTGTGTAGTCGCCTTGGAGGACTACTCAAGGCAGACACGCCCCTATGGAAAGCACATTCCCCTTGAGCACGCTAGGAGGGCAGTCGACAAGAAAGAAGGGAATAACTACAGTATAGTTTTGCAGTTGTTCCATTTTTTAAAGTTATTGTTCATCTCTTGTTGGGTGTCGTTTATAAATTGAACTTCACCATGGGTGCGCACAGGAAGTAGCACTGGTGCCATCTGTGATGGCGGGCTCCCCTGAGGTCTCACGTTTACTCTGCAGGGTGAAGGGAAGACAGTAGTTTGCAAAGCCTGCCTACCATGCAATGTGAAATATGACAGAAAGCTATGAGCTGAGGGAGGCCAGGAAAAGACTCCCTAGCAGGTGAAATTCCATTTGAAGCTTCAAAGGCAACAAGAAGGCAGTAAGAGTGTGGAAGAGACTTTGCAGGCAGAGGAACAGTGAGCGCAAAGGCCCCGAGACTAGGATACAACTCTGAAAGTTCTCTGAAGGGGACAAGGCCTGTGAGGCTGGGACATAGTGAACCAGGGGCAGGAAGGCTCCCGGCCCTGTGATCTGGTTACATGTTTGGCATCCCCTTCCTAGGATGAGGGAAAGCTGCTGACTGGCTTAGCTGGGGAGCTCGTGTGCCCTGATGCTGGCTGAGCGGAGACCTGAAGGTGCACGGCTCTCATTTGTGGGGTTGCCCTGAGCCTCTACCAGCCTCCCCACTGAGCTCCCTGTGCAGCCCCTCCTTGATGTGCACTGACATAATTATTCCATGCAGCAGGTAGCTAGATGTCTTCTCCATTGGCCAGAAAGCACCAGAGCAAAGCGACCTCAGCCGTGTCCCCTGTGCTCTTGAATGGTGGTCTCTTGGGTCATCTCGTATTTGGCCCAGAGTTCTTTCCCTGGAGCACCAGACCCAGCCTGGCCGTTAGAGCAAGAAAGCACAACCTGGCTTTTCCGGTGCAAATCAGCTCATCCAGTGTCTTCCCCGCAACACTCGAATTCCAGTAAGCACCATGGTTCTGATGAGTGGGTCCTCTCAGGGGCTGACCTCTTCACACTTTCCGTTTAGCACACGGAGGAACTTTGAAACAAACTGAAGGGGTGATTTCCTGCATCATCCCAACCTCCCTCACCTCAGTCTGATGTGTACAAGTTTGTTCTCTCACGTGTGGTTGGAGGCCCGGGAAGTGCCACGTTTATGGTATGTGTCTCCCACTTCTTGGCTGTCAGGTCCTCATTTTCTATTAGTTCTCCAAGGATTGGCTGCTTCTAGTTGGTGCTGGGTCACCTTTGGACAAAACTCTTTAATACCTGAAAACGTTGTGGCTGAAGCACTTAGGGTCTTTAAATAATTCTTAGAGCCGCTTGGTGACCCCATTTCCCATGCTAGGTCCTAGGAGGAGTTGGAATGGCTGAAGAAATGGTGAGAAAGTGGAGAAAGACCTCAAGGGCTCATTAGTATCTGGATTGGATGGGTTTGCTGGATTTTGGCTACAGACAATGAGGATGATTATAGACAAACTAGGATCAGGGTTGGATGGCTCAATGCACCATATGGGAATAATGGCCCACTGTCTGGGCCATTCTACTGCTGAGAATGGAAATTAATCTGTCCTCATCAGAAAGCCCAGAGGAGACCAAAGCCTTGCTTCTGGACTGTAACCATGGAAACCCCCCATTGTTGTGGATGGCCTGCCACCAGAACAGAAGCTCATTGGTTTTTTTGTTTTTGTTTTTGATTCTCTGAGAGATGGCACTGAGTGTCCTGTCTCCCTTCTTGCACTGTCTGGCATCCCTGCAGCAGGTCAGGGCTCAGATGCCCAGGAAGAAAAGCTACCATGTGGCCCTCAGCTCACCCTGACCTCTAAGGCAGAGGAGAAAGGGTAGGGATGAAGGTGGAAAGAGGTGACATCCAGCAGTGCTGGTGAGAGACAGTGGGTGGGGCAGGTGTTATTGGGGCAGCTATTAAGGGCACTCATGAGGCAGCATGCACGCCTGGAGTCCCATCTGACTGGCATCAATAAATGTCCCTGCTCCATCCAGTCTGGAGGGGGAGCCGTAATTAGGCAGGAAGAGATTTATCAAACAGCAGCCTCTTGGAGCTGTGGGTTTCTATGCCATCTGGACGCACGGTTTCCTACCCTGGGACAACAGCAGCAGGCATGATTGATGAGCTCCTACAGCTCTACTCGCTCGGTCTGAGAAAACCCAAACAACTTTCTTTTGTCCTCTCCAGGAAGCAGGGAGCTTCTGCCTGCGCTGATGGGGGGTCATGCTGAAGTTTGCCCTTGACCTTTGAAGGCGACCCCCAGATCTGGGATGGCCAGGCTCATGCTCAGAGTCAGTTTTCAGTTTACAACGGTCCGTCTATGAAGATTGACAGCAAAGCCCTGGAGTGAGGATGAGGAGACGTGGGTAGAAATCCCACTGGTGAGTTTGGAGGCTTGAGGCTTGTTTGCACCCAAGTTTTTTGGCCTACAGAATGGGGATCATAATTTCTGCTTTGGCCCGATGCACACAAGTTTTGGGAAGTCCTTGTGACCTTTTAGATGCAAACTGGCTTTGCTAATTAGAAAGCCTTCCATAATCATTCAGGATTGAATCCAACAAACATTTATTGAGCAACTGCTGTGTGCTATGCACCACGCCTAGTGTGGTGATGGATGTGGGTGAATAAAACAGCCCCTGCCCGTGGTGAGCTTACAGTCTAGGAAGTCAGAGGACAAGGGCATGAATAACTATAATACAAGGCAGAATAGGGTAAGTGCCATGAGAAAGGTACAAATAAAGTGCTACGGTGGTTCAGCGGAGGGAGAGACTCGGCGGTCAGTGGGTCAGGGAGGGCTTCATGAAAGACATGGTCTCTGTGTGGGCCTTGGAAGAAATTCAAGAGTGATCCAGAGGATGAGAACGTGAAGACCAAAGGCACAGAGAGAGGAAACACGGACGGGTGCTCCTTCTGGGACTGGCGACTCTGCTAGATCGGCTGGTGCAAGTGTAAAGAAAGAATGGGACCTTACTGGGTGCGGTGTCGTGTTGGGTTAAACACCTGCCATTGACTTGGGTGTCAGGAGGACCTTGAAAGTTGATGGGAGAGCAGGAGAGATACCTCACTGTGCATGCTCAGGAGGGCTGGAGGACGTGGAAGCGTGCAGAGGAAATGTGGGAGAGGAGGCTGCCACTAACAGTGGCCCCGGGGACACGTAAAGAGGTGAGGCTGGGGCCAGCGGGGAGAAACAATAGAGGAAGACGACGGCAGGATCTCAGGTTGCTTGGTTGAGGGGATCGTGGGTCTCCAGCAGAATAAAAGGGAGGTTTCAGGGGAAGGGGAGACAGAGGTGCTCTTGGCATCAGAGGTGTTCAGTTTGTGGTGCTGCCGCTGGAACAGAGAGAGAGAGTGGCTGACATGCGGTGTGACATCTGAGCTGTGGACAGGACTGGCCACAGAGAGGAGCGGAGAGTTCTCCTAGAGAGGTGGCTGTGGGATCTAAATGAAGGCATGAGCTTGCTGATGGAAGGTGTAGGGGCCCCAGGGGAGGACCCGAGTGCAAAGTGTGGACACTGTGGGGCACGAGAGGGAGACAATGGGCAGACCTGCCTCAGCTCTGAGATCAGGGTAGGTGTTGCCATAAATAATGTATAAATACATAAATAAATATATAAATAAGTGACCAAAAGGGGCTGGGAAGGAAAGGGAAACCCAGGGAAGACATTGCCCCTGTGAGGAGGGCCAGGGGTATCCAGGAGTCCCTGTAGTTCCTCAGTAAGGGGCTGTTTGAACAGACAAGATGGAGGGCAGGCAGCGCAGGTCCCAGGAACAGGCAAGGCATGGAGGCCATGGTGTGGTCAGAAGAAAAGGCAGCAGGAGGGACTGGACACCCTGCCCAGGCCTGGACACTGGGAGGTGAGTGATGAGGCCATGAGAGCCAGGCTGGGCACAGTAAACATCAGCTGGAGAACAGCATCAGAGGTGGCAGAGAGGGGCTAAGGATAGCTGGCCCAGGGAAGCAACTCATTTCCTCAGAAATGGGAGGAGGAAGTAGAAGAGGAAGGGGGAAGACAGGGGCTGAGAGGTCTTGAGGAGAACCCTCATTTCAGATGGCTCTATCTCTTTAATGAGGGAGGAGGTTGAAGGTGGGATCTGTGGGGGGCTTGAGGCAAATGGAGATGGGTCTGCGGGGCTTCTGGTGGGCAATGGTGGGCAGACTAGAGATTTGCTGGGCAGCTTCAGCAGTGAGGGCAGGCTGAGGCCGACAGATGCTTGCCCACAGTTGTGAGGGGAGGCGGGTAAGGTGGTAGATCAGTGATGGGTGTGGGTTGTCTCCCTGGGAACCTGGCTTGAAGGGCACTCTAACTTGGGAGGGAAGGGAGGTTGTCTCCTGGTTGTACCTGCTCAGGTGCAGAAAGAGGAACCAAGACCCCAGAGCTCCCGCTACCATAACGCCCAGGGAATTGGCAGTGCGGGACTTGCTAAGGTAGGGGATAGGCAGGTATGGGTGTCCTGGGCCTCCTGCTTTCTTCTGGAGGGACCTGGAGGCACTTTACAACCTTCCAGAGACCAAGTTCTCTGCTGTATTGGTCTCTAACTTTCCTGAATGGACAGGGTGCTGCCTGGAAGACAGAGCTCAGGCCCAACTCCAAGCCCTGACCTCAGGGCTCGCCTCAGATCTCACCACAGAACATTCTGGAATCCAAGGTCTTGGCTAGACCACCAAGGTTTTGCTGATCATTTCATCTACTCCCCAGAGTGCTGCAAGCTTTGGAAATTGTCATCCAGGACCTTTCAGCTTCTCCAGAGGAAAGGCTTGGGAGACAAATAAAATATGATACTAATCATTTCCATGTTCATGAAGAGCCTGGGCTACACAGTTCCCACTGAGGCTATTAGGACTGTTGCTCTTTTAAAAATTCATTTTATAATGCAAATCCCAAGTCTCAGATTTCAAGATACAACAAAAACAAAGGGGAGAATGCAGGGATGTTTTATCTCCATGCTGGTCTCGGGCTGGGGCATTCGTGTGTGTGGTGGACAGCTCTGGGTTTCCTTGCATTTGACGCCTCTTACTTCCCATCAGACATTAATTTAGAGCCAACATTCTGTTCTGAATTGCCGTTGATTAATTATGTCCAGTCTCATACACTCAGGAGCAGATCTTGATACTTTTCTTAACTCTCTTCACGTTCAAGAAAATGGTTTTTTACTTATCTTTCAAATCTGTTTTAAAAGACTGTTACTTATCAGGCGAGGGAATGCATCTAACAAATAGAGCTGACTAATGCTTCTTTCTTTGTGACCTGTGATTCCAGCCCCCAAGGTACTGGCATTGAGCCTAGATTTTCCCAGGAGATTATGTCCAGTGTTTGGAGCTGTGTTTGGCTTTTTATTTCTGTAGTAGTCTTAAATACGAACCTTAAGAGGGGAAGAAAAGGATTTTTGCAAAATTCGACAATCACTGCTTCCTTGGGGAGGTGGTGGTGGGTGGATGTGCAGTGGGCACTGGACCTCTGCGAGGAAGAGTGCGACCATCAGGATGTGAAAGTGACAAGAAAGTGACAGTGACACAGCAGTCTGGCTGCAGAGGGCTGCCATGTGCAGGACACAAAAAGCAAATAAAGCAAGTAGCTGCCAGACCCGGAGCTCGGTGCCTGTTCTTTCAGGCTTCACGTTCTGGGGCTTTGGCTGGGGGACACCCAGACAGGCAATCGTGTCTATTTTAAAGAGAATGACATTTATCTTGACAGTGTCCTTTGAAGCTTTTGTTGTGCCTTCCCTGGTGGCAGAGGTGACAGCAGAGTCCTTCACTGACATTCTGAGAGGGCAGGATGGAGGCTAAGCCACCCCCGCAGCTGGTCTCAGTAGCTTTGAGAGCACCAGGCACAGAGGGTGTGCCATACTTGGTATGCTCCTCTGCCTTGCGCTGGGGCGAAGCAAACCCACAAAAGGAGGTCTCAGTTCTAAAAGGCATGATTTAGAACACTCTGCCTCCTCAGGGTTATCCACCTGCCAAGGTTCTCGGTGGTTCTTCTTTAGCCAGGATACGGCTTATCCATTGCTTCTTGTCTAGCCTTCTCTCTACAGCTGTGCGGACAAGGCTGGGGCTTGTGAGTCACCCGTGACTCGGGCAGTCAAACTCTAAGTTCACAGAAGGAGGCCCTCAGCTCTGCTGTGGCCCTTGATTCCTCAGCTTCTTTGTGCTCCTTCCTCCAGCTAAAGTCTCCAACCTCCAACAGCACCTGTGCAGACCTAGCCAAGTGTCCGCTCCGGGTCTTGATCACCTGGAGTCCACATATCCCAGGGCTTTGGGCAGCTGACCACAGGTGGCTCTCCACTCATCCGTGAGCCCAAGGATCCCTCCAGCCCCGGGGGCTGGTTGTTATCCAAAGCCATGGAGCTGGCTTCTTTGCCTGTCAAGTCTTTCCGTCCTAAAGATGGACTGAATCTCAATCTGGTTCAGGTGGGTTCTCCACGCCTTCTTCTTGTGGCTTATCTGCCTAATGCTAGATGAACACCACACAGCTATAAATACTCAGGTCAATATATATATGCAGGTATAGATATATATATTCTGGTCACTGTTTTACACTGTAACAAAGAAAACCACTAGCCTGCTTGTTCTATTGTTTGTGCCACCCCGACTCCCATCTGCCCATGGTGTAGCTGGCAGGAAATGTGAGCCTCTGAGTCCCACGAGGTGCCCACCTTACGTGGCCCCATCACACTGGCCGACAGTCAGTTTCAACGCCCCCTGCTCATGCAGGTTCTTGAGGGCTTTGAACTCCAAGGGCATGGTGTGGGGGCTGGCCTGGGAGGTGTAGCCGTACTTGAGGCTGTCATAGTAGTGGTACTTGACAGGGTTCTGGTTCTGATCCAGCGGAAAGGGCCAGAAGCCATAGAGGTAGATCTGATTGCAGAATCGCGTGGCTAGGGTGTACATCAGGAGGCCAGTGGTGGGTCTTTTGATGTGGACTTTGTTGGTCAGCCAGTATCTGGAAAACAAAGTAGAGAAAAGAGAAGCAAAGAAGTGATGTGAGCTTGTGAATCATCATTTCCAGAGAGAGGGGAGATTTTTTTCTGCCCTGAGTGGCTCACCTCCTGCATTGCCAGAGACCAGCCAAGTTATAAATCCCAGTTCCTTCCTCAGAGTACTGACACCCACCACCCATTAAGCAGCTGAACCCCTACTGGGGCTTGACTTCCTGAAATCCCAGATGAAGCCTGTTCTCGGCATAGGTGCAGAAGTGGGTCCCAGAGATGAAAAGCGGCTGCCCGAGCTCACCCAGGTAGAAGGGAGCAGCACACTAGCTTGAACTCAGGTCTGTGGACAACAACAACCAGGGCTGGCAGACTTGATCTACACAGGGCCAAATGACAGGTAGTTCTGGCTTTGAGGTTTGTGCAACTACCCAAGTGCCGTGTAACTGCAGCATACATGAGCCACCAGCAGGCACGGGTGGGTAGAGCTGTACTTAGTCTTGACCTCTGACAAAGCACATTTTCCTGCATGGTGCTGGCTGCCCTGTGGACAGTCCCTTGCACATCCCATTTTGCATTACCATTTCTGCCTACAGCGCCATCCTTGCACGGGGCTGGAGGAGGGTGGGTGGCTCACTTCCTGTTCTGCCCCGCAGGTGCCACTCTCTGGCCTTGAGTGACTTCCCCAGAGAACTGATGGGCTTTGGACAGTGGTCTTCCCTGTGACAGAGGCTGGGCACTGCCTACACTTTTTCTTCCAAAGGCCTGTCACTCCTGCTTGTGTTCCTGCCTCTGAGAGGGACTCCTTGCTTTCTGTCTCCTGGAAACTGTCCAAAGGTCACTAGAGAAAAACTGACCAAGAGGGGAGAGCAGGGTGTAGACTGAGGGTCCTGTGTGCACAGAGGGTCTCTGGTATCGTAGACCAGAACTCATTGAGGAAGGGACTGTCCCCATGCACAGGTGAGGGAACAGGCTGGGAGGGGGACAGGTGAAGCACAGGGAGTTCTGTCACCAGCAGTCTCAGTGCCTTTGAGCAAGCCCCTTCTGCCAAATTGAATTTTTTATACATATGGAGTGACAGATCACAGCACAAATGACCTCCAAGAGATCATCTGGATATCAGTCACTCAAAGGATCTAGAAATTTCTCCAGAAGTGAGAAAATCCTTATTCTGTGTGCTACCATTCTTGCTTTCTAGTGCCTGGATTTAGAACTCGCTCCATGTGGTGCATAACCTAGCTTCTATTTCTAGTAAAAGTAGAAAGTAGCCCTCACCCTAGGGCAGGGATGGCAGAGCTTGCAGAGACCAGGGGCTTGAACTGCAGCCCCAAGCCCGCTGTATTACCACACAGTGCCGACGCTGCAGTTAAACCTGAATGTTGATTCTCGGCTGCGACTTGGCTGCTCATGTGCGGTACTTACAGCTGGGGCAAAAGATGTAATTCAGGGGTTCTGAATGCCATGTCTTTAGCCTGGCTGTGGCCACGTTTCCTGGCCTCAGACAGTCTCTGTGGCATTCTGTCACCCAGGTTCCACCTGCCACGGTACGAAGCATCCACTCTCCAACTGCAGTGGAGGTCAGTGTGGCTTCCGGTGACGGGGATGTGTGTGACGTCACGGTCAAACACACCAATTCAGCTCATGCCAGAAAGCATGCCGGACAAACACATCTACACTTTGCTGAACCAGGAAACTTCTGTGTTGTTCACAGTACTTTCAGCTACAGGGTGGAGGTGGAGAGGGACAGGTTTTCTATAATCGCAAGCACTTCCATCTTTTTGCAAAGAGATCCCTTCAAATGCTCAAAAAGGAAACCCTCAACACAATGCATAAGTCGAACTTAAAGCTTGTTTGTTTGTTTGTTTGTTTGTTTTTCACTTGTTTGGAGGAAGTATTAGTCTTTGCATCAGATGGGGTTAAATAATCCATATAATTTCAATGAAACATAATGTTCATCGAGTGGAATGTTCTAGAATGGTCCTCACATGTACCCCTCCAAACCGATCATCAATCGTGTGGGATTTAAATTTCCCACACTGCTCAAGGAGGATGAACCTGATTGTCCTGGGCACAGTGGAGCCTCCGGGTGGTCCTTTAGACAATAATGGTAAGCCGGTAAGTCTGGCACCTGGAGACTCACTTCCCCAGACTTCTTCTATTTTATCCTGTTGGGCCGAGAAATTCCCTCAGTCTCAGAATTTCCCAACAGGGAATCAGATGGAGGACAAAGGCAGAGAAGAGGACAATGGTTGCTGTAGCCCACAAGCACAATGCAACTGGAAAATGATAGCAGCAAGTGTTGGCGGGTGTACGATGGCCTCCATTATTTCTTCCCTGCCCTGTTGAGAGGCCTCTTTGGTGACAGCCTGTGCTGCCATTCACCCTCCACTGCGCAGCACTCTGGGTACTCCTTACAGAAACCTTGCCCTGCTGCAGATGCAATCCAGTTCTGTAGTGCAGAACATAAGCTCTGTGAGATCTGGCCCCACAACCCTATCCCACAGTGCACCTGTGTCCCCAAGAGAAATGGCTGTAGCCCCCCAGGCACTGCGCCATTCATAGCACCTTCTCCTACTGAGATCTGCTTCAGCACTGCCTTTGCTCTTTCGCCCTGGTCTCTGGGCACCTGTATCCCAGTCTCTTCCCTGTTGTGGCCCTCAGGGAGATACAGTGTGCTTGCCTTTCCCACAGTCTCTGGGCTCTTGTGGGGTCGTATGTCTTGATCCCTGTGTTAAGGGGGCTGTTAAGGGGCTGGAAAAGTGAGTGGGAATTTGGAGGGAGGAGTGCTTCCAGAAGTCCGCATGCTAGGCTTTCTCCCTCTTGTATTTTGCTCCCACAGGTCCATGGCCAGGTTTCCACAGCTTGGGCATGGGGAAAGGGGTGGGATATTACTTGTTTCAAAAAGAAAAAGTTCTGGGAATGCACAAGGCAGCCGATGTGTCCCACTGTGTGCAGGCTGGGGCGGGGCTGTTGCTCTGTCAATGCGCCTCAGTGGCCCAGGGTTTCTGGTCCTGGCCCTGGGGAATAGAAGGAACCCAGAAGCAGCATACCTGTTGTGCTCCAGTGTGGGCTCTGCCCCCCAGAGTGCTGACAGAGTCGACTCCGAGGTCCAGTCTGCCCCCACGGCTCCACTCCCCTAAGAGAGGTCTCTCCTGGGCTTCTCAGTCCAAGAGGAGAAAGAGGCTGGGTGACTGTACACGGCACCACACAGCGTGGGCCCAGGGCAGCCGGTTGCTGGGCGGAGGGGTCATGGGCACTAGCTAGAGCAGCTTCAGGTGCAGAGCTCTGCTGGCCATTTGCTGCATGAAGTACCTGTGAGAGCTGCCCGAGCGCTTTCTAGTGGCTGGACGGCAACCTTCCTCCACACCACTGTGCTCTCAGCTCAAGGGAAGGCTTGAAGGCCCTCAGGAGAGGCCCTTTCATACCTCTTCCTTCTTTTCCAGGCCTCCTGGCTACGTCCCTCCTTCCTGTCACCCCGCTGCTGAGGTCGGGCCCTGATCTCAGTACCCATCCGTCCCCATCCTTACCAAGCACTTTGCAGGCTGTGAACCTCACAGACTGAGGGCCTTGCTGATGAGGGCTAGAACTGGGGCTCCCTTCAGGTCCTCTGATTGCAAATCTGTATTTTTTCTTTGGTGTTGTAGTTCTGATAGATACGGGGCAGTGGAGAACGTGGCCAGCCTAGTGTGATTGTGTGGGGACTGTCCTACATGGCTGCCTGCTTAGCCACCCTGCAGAAGGCACAGTAGTGGCTTGAGACAGGCTTGATGCAGAGCTTGTAGCTTAAGAGGCCAGTCCTCAGGCCGCCTCGGCACTCTCTAGGCTGAAAGGGCCCAGCCTGAAGAACCCCTGGTGCAAAGGCAGGGGGATGGCAAAGAGAAGAACTCTAGAAAAGCAGCAGCTGATATTTGGGTCCTCTCACCCTGGCAAAACCCTCACACACACACCTTGGCTTGCACTCACTCAGTAACAGGAAGTGCACCCCCTGACATGCTATTCCATTGCATTTTCAGCTCAGATGCTAAGGTTGTCAGCTTAGGAGATGCCTGGGTCCCATTGCCAGGTGCAACCTGGACCCGGGGACTTTGACAGCCTCCTTCAGTAACTCAAATGTGTAGCCATGGGTAAGAATTCCTGAGTAGGCAGGTAGGTGGTTCTGCCAAAAGGAGCCCAAGAGATAATACATTGAGAGGGAAAAGACGATATGGAAGAAGAGCTGCGGGGTTTTAAGGACAGTTGGACCTGGAGAACCATATAGCCTGGTGGCCTGGCAGGGGCCACGACTAAGTGGCCTGGAGTGGGAACAAATGTAAGGAAAACTCAGACCTGGCTTCACTGTGACTAGGACAACAGGAAGTGTGTGGTGGTGGTCTGGAACCATGGCATCTCCAGGGACAGCCAGTTTTATTGTCCAGCACGGTGGTCCCACATCTGACTTTTTAAGAAGAGTCTTAGAAGTAGAATTTTTTTTGCAGAGTCTCTAGAATTTTATTTCTATTTTTTTGAGACAGAGTCTCATGATGCAGTTCAGGCTGGCCTTGTGATTACTTTTGTAGTCCCCAGGCTGGTCATGAACTCATGAACCCCAGGCACCACCATACCTGGTTCTGGGGCTGCATAGTGGGACTGCAGGGCATGTGGGGCTGGGTATCGAACTCGGGTCCTTGTGCTTGCCAGGTAGGTGCTTATGCCTCTGAGCTATCTTTCTGGCCCTGCTCCAAAATTTTAAATGTTGGGAACAAGCTAAACATCAGGGGAATTTGGAGGTGTAACTCAGTGGTAATACGCAGTGCTTAGCATGCACAAGACCCTGGCTTCCACCTCCCACATTTTTCTTTTTTTAAAATACCATGTGGGCTGTTATTAGATAGGACAGACAGGCCATATCTTTGGTTAGCCCAGTGCCTCAGAACTGAGCTTGTTTTCCTCTTTCAGTTTCCAGAGGAAAACGTGGGAGGCCGGGTCATCAGTCTGGGAAGCAGCAAGCTTCTCACAGCCCTGCTTACAGAGAGCT